TTTATATAGTGTAAATTCAACCAGGAAAAGTTTAAAATGGTACAAAAAGTTTTTCTTTCATTTATTAGATTTAGCTATAATTTACATTATATAAGTATATAACTGGAAAAAACCTATCATTTCCAAAATTTCATTTACATTTAATAAAACAAATTTTACGCAAGTACCTAGCAGATAGACCAACATATAAATCAATAGGCGGAAATCCGAATAATCTGCCTTTTCGGTTAATACCAACACATTTTCCATCTCCTTACATAAAAAACGGATTAATAAGAAAAAACACCAGACGCAAATGTGTCGTATGTAAAAAACATAACAAAAGACGTGAGACACATTACTAGTGTGAGAAATGTGATGTAGGACTCTGCATTCATCCGTGTTTCGAAATGTATCACACTTTACTTGATTATTAAATAATTTGTTATTTTTTATTTAGACAATGTTTATTAGATATTTATGCTAAGTCAGATTCAAGAAAATAAATAATATTGTTTTAATATAGTAAAATTCAGATTTTTGATTATTGAAATATGTTTTAACAAAAATGCATCCCTACCCAAAAATTCGCCGTTCTCGGCGCACATCGTAACACAATCCCTGCCGTATGGTTCGATCGGTGCGTAACAAAGTGTGCCGTAGTCAAAGGGTTAATATAAAGTATTAATTAGCGAGAGTCATTTTGTTAGATTCACTATTATCTATTACGTATTGTTTAATTTGCCAATTTCTATTATTTCTATTATTAATATTATATCAAAATCTATTTAGTTTCTTTTGATCAAACCAGTATACTTTTCATATTTTGTTGTTATTTGTTAGATTCATCATCTTCATTATTTTATTGAATAAACCTTATTGTTGAAAGATATTGACCTGTGGATTTCACTCCTTAATCGCACACCACACGAATTCCACAATCTTTAGATTTAGTTATTTTCCAAAATGAGTCGTTCAGTTGGTAAAAGCCGCTCTTTACCTTACTAGCGCTGTTAATCTCTGGACCTAGGTTCCAGAGTCGTTACAAATTCTTCACGGGCAACTTCTTCGCACTTTTGCCCGTATTTAACAGTAGGAAAGTTAATAATATTTGGATATATTAATCTTTTAGCCAAGTTAGCACAAAATGTGTCATTTTTTGGACGGCATGCACTTCCGAAATTGGATACTATCAGAAGTTTTGATTTGTAAGTGTACCACCGTGAATTTTTCATTTGTCTAATTGTTTTCATTTGAGTAGCATCTTTGTTTTCTTGCCAATTATGGAGCACTGCCATATGCTTTTCTTTCTACAATTTGTAACATCCCGCGGAACTTTTTTTTTCCTTGTTAATTTCTCTCGCCATTCTTGCACGGGCCTATTTACCAATCATAAATCATGAGCCCTAACGCGATCGAAAATTCGAATTACGGTATTCATTCAATCCTCAATCACTGAACGTTAGTCAGTCATCAACCTTCGAGTAATAAATGTGAAAAGTAAAAATGTAACCAGAATGAACAACCACCGGGCCGCACCCATTCACGAAGGTCTCTGTATGAGGGACCAAGAATATATTTTTACAAACAAATATAACATGGAAGTGGGCAGATTACGCATGATCTACACATTAAACGTCTGCCCGGAGGCCAGAGGAAACTGGTGGAGTCTGGCAAGAAAAGAAGAATTTCATTTTTTTTCTGAATAATAGCATAATCTAATACGCATACTTATACATATATGTACTTAGGATTCCACCATTTCATTATAAATGAAGCAGCCTGGAGGATCATGCAGTGCGTGTGCTACAAAAGCAACACACTTGCTTGGCAAGCTAGGAATTTTGGGGAAATTCAATTTACATTCTCTAATTATGCACTATTCAAGCTGAGTTATTATTATTACTGTTAATCAAAATCCATTTAGTTTCTTTATTCTAATTAATCATTTATAATCTATATACTTTTCATTATTTTGTTGTTATTGTTATTTGTTAATTTCATTTTTATCGTTTTATTGAATACATCTTGTTGTTGAAAGATATTGACCTGTGGATTTCACTTCTTAACCGCACACCACACGAATCCCACATTCTTTACATTTAGTTATTTGCGAAAACGAGTCGTTCGTAGGTAAAAGCCGCTCTTTACCTCCCTAGCGCTTGTAACATCTGAACTTAGGTTCCAGAGTCGTTACACGTTATTAAATAAATAACAAATAAATTTTTGGTGACAGCGGTGGGATACAATAGGTACAGGTCATTGAACATAGCTGCAGATACGTGTCACTGATCTCCTGTGTAGTAAGAGAACTTGTCAAAATCATTCATCTCTAAAATAAAAGATAAATGCATGAAAAAGTATACAAGTAGGAAAAAATTAATTAAAAAGAAAAAGAAAAATTAAATATATTAAACAATACATATATTAATAAGTTAGATTTTGCAACTCACAATGGAGAGAGAATCAGAAACTCACGAAAAGAGCGCTACTCGCTCCGCTCCCCAGATTAGCATTCGAGATGCCGCAGATATCGTGCCTCCATTTGACGGCCATAATATTCCTTTGTACAAATTTACGAAAAATTGTTTAATTGCTAAGAGTATCATTTCACCTCCTGCCGAATACGGCCTAGTACAATTGATAAAAAATAAATTATTCGGGCAAGCGTCGAGAGCAATCGCAAGCGGCGATCACAGTACCAATGACAAATTAATTTCTGTCTTAAAATCGCGTTTCGCACCTTCGTATACATCATATCAATTATACGGAGATCTCTCTAAAATGGCACAAATACCAAATGAAGCCGTCGTAGACTATAGTAGCCGCGTTTCTAGCCTTCTGTTACAAATTAAGAATTGCAATGAGATAGAACAACCGCAGTTAGCGCCGCAATATAATAAAACCGCCGAAAGCAATGCAATTTGCCAAAAGTAACCGCCGTTTGTAACATCCCGCGGAATGTTACAAACTTATAAATATTTTCATCCATGTCTGGTCTTGTAGCGTTTGCTCCATAATTACAATCTTTTTCAGAGCAAAATTGTTTGCGAACATGTGTCGCGATTTCTGTTTCCTTTAGTTTCTCAACATTTTTTCATTTTTTTTATTTCTTCTTGTTTCTATATGTGATAAAAGTCGGGACGGTATCTTCTTCATCGTTGTATTTAATCGTAACAATGTTTCCTTCGTATTATACTGTAACACGCCAACAGTACATCTTGCCGTCTACGAACCTGTGTGGCTGAAATTTAACCTTTTTCCACCGACGTATTTGGCGATTACGCTATTGGAGCTCTTTACAGGATTATTATTACAGTTATATAATAAAGTTTCTGTATTGTGTAACCTCCTCGGAGGACCGGACAGGTACTAGATAAAGGTCAAAAACCGTCTAGAGAGAGAACGAAGCGCACGTATTATCGTACGAACAAGATCTGCCGCCGCTTTATTTTGTATGTATCACCGGGGAATGACGTCACCACCAGCGAAGGAACAACGTACGACGAGGGAACGCACCGCTACCCTGCCGTTTCCCCGCTAAGACCATGCAATAGACCAAGAGAGGCGGCCTAGGGTCGGAGCACGGCTGGCTGTCGTGGCGAGCGCACGTATTCGGGGGTCGCTCCGCAATAAAGTTCAATTTTGGTGGGAAAAAGTGGTTAAAGTGTGATAAATAATGTTGTGAAGTGAGGGGACACCGTGGGGGAAGTGAGCGATGAAGTTTTGTAAAAATCGGTGGGGAAATAATAAATCTATAAATAAAAATCGAAATTTCGGTAATGGCGACCTCCACGCGACGCGAGGGAAAGCAAGTAATGTCGACCACCACGCGACGCGAGGGAAAGCATGGGGTGCAAACCCATGAGTAATCGAAAGCGAGGAAACGAGTGTTTGGGCCGACCGCGGAATAAAATAAATATGTGCGCGACTTAAACACGATTACTTTTATACATCGCGAGTGAAAATAGTGCAATTTAAGG